TGTAAAAGAACAGAGGGAAAAATCTGAAAAATTTAATGGTCTTTTTATTACATGGTACTGAAGCAAAAAAAAATTTGAGGTTTTCAGATAATCAGTCCAAGATAAGCTTAAACAAAATATTCACTACTTTACACATCTGCATTTATGGGGGGGGGAGGATCATGAGTAGACATGAGCCAAATGGTCCCAAAGCAATTTGCACAGTAGTGAGGCACTCACCTCACTCATGACTAATTGAACTCACTTTTCCCAACATCAGGTCTCAGGAGAAATTCAAAGCACACTATAGCATTTAATACTGAGATTTTAACAAGTTAGCTTGAAATGCTGCTAGAGTTTTAAAGGCAAGTTCTTCCCAATAAATAATATAATGAGAAAACATCAGCACTTAAGAGGATGCCACAGGGTTAATACCAGGTTTTAAAAGACTTCAGAATGGATTTTACCCAGTTCACATGTCAGGAGGCACAGCACGGAATCAATTTACAGCAGGAGCCAAAGATCACAAATTTTAGGGGAGCCTGGGGACTGATTCCCCCAATCAGTGCTGTGGGGTGCACAGATGAAAGAGCAAACTTGTTTTTTTTCTTTAATGGTGACAGCGTATTCTGAAATTACGCACAGCAGGCAGGAGAAACCTGCATAGATTTCAAAAGATACTGCAGGTTTGTATACTGAAGCACACATTTAAGGTCCTAGTTAATGTGCTAGCCTTTCACCTCTGGAGGCCTGGGCTCAGACTTATCTGAGGTAAAATGAAGGAGAATTTGGGACTTCTATCTTCTTAACCCTTATTGGCCTTTCATCCACACCACACAAGTACAAACCAGTTTACCAAACTTTGGATCAAACTCTTACTTTTATTATTCTTAAGTCAGCCTCAAGCAATTCTCCTAAACACTAATAGCAGCACAGTTTAGTGTTTCCACCAATTTAAACTTGATTGAAAAGCCAAATTCTGTTCTCATTTATCTCAATGAAAACCTACACCTGTGTCAGTATTCAAGGAATCCATCCAGAGAGAATTAAACATAAGACATGAGAGAACAAGACCCTACCAAGACTGGAAAGCAGACTTTTTCCAGCTCCAGAGTATTTGCTCAGAGCCTATTTGAAAGATGTTCTGTTTTCTATATTTGGCTTTTACTAATGCTGTTCTAGATACTCTCTATTAAAAAAAAAAAAAAAAAAAAAAAAGCCCTCTTTAAAGCTTTAAACTCTTCATTGTTTCTACCTTGGCAGAAAGGACTATGAATGACTGTTTTTAAAAAAATATCAAAATAGTTTCATTGAACTGATCAGAGGGGACGGGAAAATCTGAATTTCCTCTGCAACCATTACATTTCAAGTCTCTCTGAAGTTTAAGCAATATATGTAACGTTAAGTCTAAAAATACCTCAACAATATTCTTTCCACCTTGGCTGTAAAAATATTTTGTAGGAAAACATGGTAATCACAATTTCCGTTACGCATCAGAGATGTTCCTCTTTTCCATGAAGAACATTAAAATAAATTCTGCTGATAATGAACTTATGAGGCCCTCAGCAGGTTGAGAGAACCAAGCCAAAAAACTTGCTGTATATACTCACTGTATCTTCCCTTCCCCCTTCACTCTTTCCAAGTTCATTCAGTAATCACAGGTCTAAACAAGCCTAGCACACACAGCTGTTTCAGTACTGCTGTCTAGCAAGTCTGACACAAATATGCAAGTCTGAAGGTTGGCAGTCGTTTGCGTTGCACGCGTTGAACGATGTTTTGTCTGTACTTAGGTGGCAAACTGGTTTCAGAAACAGGTTTAATGTGACAATACCAAGAGCAATGAAAAGGGCCACTTCAGTAAGGTAAATGTCATACACATTATCAGATCTCACAGAAAAAAAAGTCAAAACAGAATAATTAGACAATGGAAAGGAGTCAGTTATGCCAAATCACATGTGCTAGTAGGAAAGGTGTGATACAATCACATAGAAGGAAATGTAACTGCAAAATATGACACATTACAGGTGGACACAGTAGACAAGCCTGTAATACAGAGAAATGAGTAGAAGGAAGTATACAAAAGGGCTGAACACAAAATGAAAAATTACACCTTTGTGCCGGGAGGGGCAGTCATAAAGATTTATTTTGCTAAAATTCTTTCTTGCTCTGGCTCATTTTCATCGTTATAGAAAAATATAGAAAAGTCTGTATCATCTCCTCTGAGATCGTCGAGTTTTTTTCAAAACAGAACAGGTGAGTGAAGCAAGGAAAACAGTGCAAACTTCCTGAGCTACAGCTTAGAAGGTGAGAGCCTGAGCCACACTGCATGGCAAAGAGTGTGGTCAGAACATAAGGAAAACAGGTCTAGGGATGACCAGCCAAATACCCGAATGTGATTCCCAGTGATCAGATACGATATATGCTCATTCATTCCCACAAAACTCAAATGATATATGTGAGGTGCTACTTTGTAAGCAGACTGAAATAACCACAAGTTTTTTCTCTATACAGTCTCATGTATATATATAAAGAAATACATTTCCCTGAATGGCAATATTGTTGTTTTGTTGTAGTCAAATAACTGAGGATAGAAATGATGTGAAAATTATGAGTAAATCCCAAACATGTTTTAACTTATCTTTTTGACAAAGATTAAGTGTATTACATACACTTGCCTTGAAAGACAAGTAATCTGATGAGTTCTAACTGAACTGCACGTACACAATATATATACATGCAAACTGTGTGTGTATATGCGTAAAGAGATATAAATTTTGAAATCTTTTTAAATCTTTTAAAATATGTTTTATAAGCAATTGGTTAAACATATTATTTACTGATTAGAAGTCTAGATTTCATAACTAAAATACTGTCAATATCATGAAAGTCATTTCAGATGGGTTAAGTATCTCGGACAGTCTTGTGTCCAGAAATGTCAGGATTTTGTTTGTTACAAGTAACTTGGAATACATCTTGATCAATCTATAGAGATAAGAACAGTGGAGTTCCAAGATAAATTATGGAACAGCCTTCAACTCAATTTATTTTAAAAGGAACATCCTTTGTTTCTAGCAGAGATTAGAAATCTCTGGAGCAAAATCACTAAAGCAGAGCATAAAGGCATTAACTTTAAACACTTGAATCGGGCTTTTGAGATTCCTAATCAACCTGCTGCTCCCTTTCTACAGCTCATTTGGAAGCTGCATTCATTTCTTTCATGAATGGCACTCTTAACATCAGTGACAGTATGTGAGCTCTACCACATGAGGTGTTAAAGTTGCATAAGGCACTGAGCAAGGTGCACCCTGCATTCCATGGCCCACACTTTGCACCTCACTTCAGTACCCAAACCCAACAGAGCTGCTTGCTGGAACTTAAGAATTATAGCAGGAAACAGCATCAACTAAAAAATGCATCATAAAGTGGCCTGTATAGATACTGCCTGTAACTGTTATCACTGATTTTTGACAGCTAAAGCAAAGAAACTGGAAAACTGAGAATTAGATGATCATGGCAACCAGCAGTCAACAGAGATCAAAATGTCTACTCAACAAGCATCTTAAAAAAGCTACCAGGAATGCTGATTTATACATTTTAGAAAATATTTGGCATGGCACAAACTGTTGTTTAATACTAACAAAACCACCACGTGGCATAAAAAGACTTTTCATCATGCATTTTCTCAGAGCACATGAATTCCATAAACTTCAGCTCATTAAGTTAGTAAATTTGAGATTGATGCATGTAGGCTGAAATTGATACAACTACCTTTGTTACACAGTTTAGTGTTTTGTCTTAAATGGGAAAATTATGCCCCACCAATACAGATAATTGTTTTCTGAATGAGTTACTGATGTATGTTCTACAAATTCTGCTTCAGTACTTCTAAACATTGCCTAAAAGATGGATGGACTACTGCAAAGTCATCCTAGTTGTAAAAAAACAAACTTTCTATACAATCTCAAATATTTAAACCAGCAAGAGCTAATGGAATGATGCTTCACAGAACTTTATATCTTATTATTATGTATTTTCATCAAATATGATTGCTAATTTTACTGTAAGTAATAAAAAAGCTCTTTCATGTCGTATAATTTAAAGTGACCATATTTTTCAGCAAATGAAATGACATGTCAATGAAATTTAAGCAACCTCAGGAGTACCATAGAGTTTTGACTAAATAATGATCAGATGAAAAATTAGTTGGTTAAGTCTTACCGAGGATGTCTACACATTAGAGTTAAAGTCTGCACTGAAATACTACATAAACATATACTTCTTTAGGGTTTCTTTTTTTTGGTGGTTTTTTTTTTTTTGGTTTTTTTTTTGCAAAGTGAGTGTTTTTCATTTAGAGATTATATCATGAACAGATGTAGGATAATGTTAATAGTCCCTTCTGGAAACATTAATCACAAGGTTTTACTTATTATTTGGTGTCAGCATTTAAAAGTTAAAGCATTTCCAGAACTGTCACCATTGAAATATTCCTTTTGCTTAAAGCTAAATTACAAAACAGTAATTTATTTTACAGTCCCAGCATCTTTTTAAAAACATATATAAGAGGGAAAATGGCAGGCAATGCCTTGTTCTCATGGCAACAGTGTAGACTGACAGTAGTAAGTCTGTTTCTACTTTAGAAAGAGGACTGAAAATGCAACTCTACCAACTTTTTAAATGTTTGAGCAATTTTAAATCTCCACAGAAGAGATTTCAGTTGTCAGCATGATACTAACATGATGTTTTCAGAAGTGAACTTACCATTCCCAGCTCACTGAGTAAATATTAACCAGAACCAAAATAAAAGCAGGCTAAGGCCTTTTTATCAAAGAGATCTTAACCTCTCTTTCATTCATATTCTCACACATAGAATATTGTACAGGTGAAGCAAACTGCTACTACTTCAAAGTATTTGTCAATGTATCTGCAGAAATGTTCCACTAACTATATCCAAAATACTTAAGAAAATAATCAAAACAAGTCCATATCCTTCTGTATTCCCAGGAGAGGATCTTACTGGTTACCTCAATGTCCTGGAACTCAGGAACTCTGCAGCATCTTCCAGTTCAAGATTTGCTATGTCTCCACCCTGGACAGATTCAGCAAAGAGCTTATATACACCTTCATATTTGGGCTGTTGTGGGGGAAAAAAAAGTATAAATGCAAGTCTGTCCTTAATGCATCAGTGAAACTTAAGAAAACACAGCAGCACAGTCTCAACATCCTCAAAATCATCCTCCATTCACATCTGACCAAGGTAAAAGTTAATTGCTTCACATGAGATTTACCTGAGACTTTAAAGCAGATAAAAGACTATTCTCCTGTTTAAGCAGTGCTATATTTAACATCCTTCATCACCTCTTCCCTTTTGGAATGGATGAATATCCAACAAACTCCTTGAAGATGCTCATCTCTCTCCACTAGCTCTAAAATTGAACGAACTTCAACAAAGGACCAAGTTTTTTAAGTGTCCTAGGGATATGAATTGAATGCTAAAGACCATTCAGGTATTCTCACACCTTTAATTCTGAAATTTCAGTCTTAATTCTCCTCTATCTAACTGCCTTAACTGGGACATTAGATCTTGTTTGGTATCTCTGGAGACCAACAGCAGAGGGCTAAAATAAAGATGGAAGTGCTTTGGCCTCTATGTTTACTAAGAGGCCACATCTTGCAGTCAGTACTGAAAAGTGGCGTAAACCTGCTCCCTGGCAAATTGATTCTCTAGTTTCCACAGTATAATTTTCAAAAATGTTCATGTGAAAATGTAAGCACGTGAACTAAGGATTATTTTGACACATGGTATCCATCATTTGGATTTACTCATTTTCCAAATTAAACTGTTTTGTCAGTTTTCCTGTGCATGTGAATTTTTGAGTAAGGGCAATGTGTAATGTTACAAGACACATTCATGTGCTGACCTCTCACAAAACCAAAATTTGCATAAAGCTAGGATGGTGGGAAGCACTGCATTTTCATTTTGGCCACAGGACCAAGACACAAAGATTTGAAAAGAGAAGCTGAATGGCCCTAGCTTGTGGCATAATTCTGCTTCCTCACATGAACAATCTGATTGAGGATGTAGCATCAACAAAAGTTCCTTGCATGAAAAACGTTTATATAAATAGATCCTTTCAGAAAATTTATCTGCATATGACATGCACAAAACAGGCCTCTCTCTGCAAGTAACAGTAACTACAATAACTACTGGTTATTTCCAGAGGCTCTACCTTCCTTTAGTTTGTCATGTGTATTTCGGCAGTACACAGTCACTGAACCAAGTTTTGTGTATTCCCTCTTATTCCTATAATCACAGTTTAACCCCTACTTTTACAAAACATCACTTAATACTTCCCATAATCAGGGTACTTACACATGCTCAGTTCTTCTTTACTTGACGAGATTTTTTATTTTAATGTTTTATATTTCCAGTTAAATGCTGGATTTGACTGTATTTAGGAACTAAAATTCTATCCTTTATAGATAATGACTCAACATCTATGGAACTCTCTGCAACCTGGCCAGGAAAAGACAAGTTACCAACAGAAGTCACCTAAAGCTGCATCTCCACTACCATGCAGCAGAACAACATAGCTACAATTCCTCATTTCTCTTGAGTCTTCCTTCTGGAAAAGGTTTATATCACTTCAGTCTTCTTCAAGTGAATTTATATGGGATCAGTTTGGAAGCATCCTGGTTTGACCAAACCATGCTCATATTCTCACACAAGCATTAATGCATGTCATGTCATAAACTGACATGTATTTGAAAGTGATCACAAAACAGTCACAATGAGTGAGCAGCCTTGAAAGAAGAATCTTACAGCCCTTGTGGCATGGTCTGGAGCTGCACTCATCCTCTCCTAGGAACCACTGTGGCTGCATGACCCAAACTGCACAGGGCCAGTACTGCTGGACATTTTCACTAATTCCACGCCTTCTTGCAGCTTCCAACTCCAATTATTTTGGAAGGTGTGAAGGAATACTTCTCCTCCCTGACTCACTTCTTGCAATAGCTCTGTATAAAATTCCACATATTCAAAATCCGGACATCATAAAATAGTACACTTTTCATCCCCTTGAAGCACTGCTCCTACCTTAAAGAATATCCCCTAAAATCACTTCTGTAAAGGGGAATATCTGTTTATCTTCTGTAAGTATCTGCATAGAAAAATACTGAAACAATCCTTAAACTGTATAACCAGCCAGAAAGAAGTTAATTCTGGAAGGGCACAGAACTTCCCACCCACACAGCCCCAGAGTGTGCCCGTCAAGGCCCTCTGACTTTGTACCTATTGTGTTACATGAGGCTGGGATGGGGGTTAGTGTTTGCACTCTGCAGTTTCTGGCAGAATCCCCAAAGTAATTTTGAATTAAAAGGTTAAATGCTGGCACTTGTCAAATGTGAAGACATACAGTGCTATAACAATATGAAATAGCTTCCTTACAATTAAATTTATATCATCAGGTATTTAAATAGGTGTTGCAAATATTATACCTTTGGGTAACTTGAAGAAATACCTAAATGAAGTGCAATCATTTTCTGTCATAACTATGTCTCAATACAAGAATACAAGCCTGGCTTTCAAATCCTTTGAACTGAATTATTCAAATACATGTAGGTCCAACAAATATTCATATATTTTTTGTTTCCATTAAGAAAATGGTTTTGTTAAATTAGCCATGTTGTTAAAAAAATGATGTTTTTAGTTTCACTAGTCTGTTATTTCCCTCTAAATATTTAAACTTGTGATAAATGAAGAAACCATAATGCTTCCAGATAATCACAAAAAAAAATAAATTTCTGACTAAAAAGAGACAGTACTAAATAAATGACACCCTCTTAGCTTAACCTCCCACTAATCAAACTGTTAAATAGTATAACTATTTCTCTTTTATAGGTCCATAGAAATAGAACACACCTGACACAAGGAAAACACAGTAAGTAATGTATGACTTCTGGAAACTGAAGGCTCACTCTTAGCCACCAGAAACTCAAGACATCCATAAGCTTCAAGAATATATGACTGAGCCTCTAATTCTTATATCTAATTTGACTGAGGAATGAGAATGATGAAAAATATGACAGTATATTTAGCTAGAATTTCAAAGCAGTCTGGACCTCTAGCTATGGCTCTGAACAGGATTCAGAGGATGAACTAACAAGACTTCCCTAAGTTTCCTTAGTTCTAATACTCTTGCTAGCACCTCTACATGTTTTGTTTTTCTCTGGTGTAAAGGTGGAACAATGATGCTTACCCTAATTTGAAACGTTAGACTGCTGTTGAAAACAATTCACAGCTACTTTTAATTTAATTACTTTTCAAATCTGTTAAGTAAAATAATATTTTCAAATGCTGCTCCTGATACATTAGGAGGCCAGTGCAAAGATCCTGTGCCCGGATCGTTGTCTGAAGTGTTATGGGATTTTAAAAAATGTATGCAATTAAAGCTTTGACTCATCAAAGTCTTACAAATTAACACCTACAAATTACGTAAAGAATGGTCTTATCCTTTTACTTAAAATTATGCATATACACAACTTATGTGTTTAAATGCTTAAGTTCAGCTTGGCTGCAAGAAACATACTACACACAAAAACAATGCAAGAATAAATCTTAATTTTCCTGTGTAGATGTAGGTGGCACTCCCTCCCCCCAGCCTTGTAACTTGTCCTTCATTCATCAGCTGGTGTGTTTATTTTTGCTATATGTGATGTGACTAGCAGAACTTAGGCAATGAAAACTTCTTAATCAAGTGAAGATCTTTTGAAGAAAAAAGAGGACCTGCTCCACTTTTCAGAATGCAAGGTCAAGAGTTATATACACACAGTTAGAGTCCAGTTTCATTTAGGTAAGTTTACAACTAAGAAAAGGAAACATTTCCTCATACAACTTGTGAGTGAGAGTTACTGATATAAATAATGTTTTGGCAGTAACAGAAAGAGAACTAGATAAGTATATTACCATTAATAATCTACGTCCTTATGCAAATTATAGCTTTGTATCAGATCACACATCCCACATGAATAAATCAGAGAGAACTTAATTCCAGCTGCTGCACTGCTGGAATTCCAGCACTACTCTTACCCCAGAACAAAGCACTGCAGAAATGTGTCTGTATGCACTTGCCTACCACCAAGGTTTTCAACCAGTAGATATATGGGCAGCCCTATATTCTATATTTCAGTACATTGAACATAGAATCTGAAATATCAGTTGTCCCTCCAGCTGCGCCCTGTAACACAGGGGTGCAGTAAAGACTAACAATAGCTTGGAGTGAAACACATCCATTGCTATGGTGTAAGAGAGGTGGAAAGGTAGCAGAGATTTTTTTTAAGTTTTAGCTCAGTTCACCTCAATTTTATCAACTCAGCAAAGGGCATTATCTTACATTTATTGCAGAAAATAGAGGCAAGACTGAAGAGTCCTACCTCTGCAGAACACTTCCCTTGGGATATAGCCTTCTCAAAATCTCAGAGTTCTTTGTTTGTCCTCCCAGGAAACACCCTGAGGAACCATGGGATATGTGGTCTTGACTTCAAAGTGCTATCAGCATTTATAAGTGGTGGAAATGAGAAGATATTCCTACACACTAAAGAATAAATAAGAAAATATGGAGAAAGAAAAACCTACATTTTTGTTCCGTATTTGTTATCTATTTCTTTATTTCCCTTTAATTTTCTCTATAGAGGCAGAATGTTATTTGTTTTCCATTTTTTAGGCTTGGCTAAAGAAAGATAATTGGTTTACCTGTGGCTTTGAAGACAAACAAGTCATGGGAGAAGGAAGGAATGAAGCTCATGTCAGCAGAGAAGATGATACCTGAAACCTAAAGGAGACAGGGCAGAGAAACTGCCCGCATAAGTTCATCAGTGCAAGGCACAGCTGTAGACCAAACACGCTCTGTCTTTAAAATTATGAAAGGGAACAAGTCACAACTATAGGCAGCCTTTTCCATTCTGCCTCTATTACCTCATACCTATGCCCAAGATTATTTTTTCCTTTTCTTAAGCAAAACCAAAAATCACATCTAGGTTTGCTTCTCCCTTCCACTGGAACATCTTGCATCCCCTCACTACCCTCACTACACAACCAGTGCCTCTGCTTCCTTCTACCCTCAAAATTCCTTGCAGGATGATGACTCTGTGTCAGCCATGGGCACATCCTTCAGCACTTGCCCAGGGAGGACACTCTCTACACTGCTGCAGTTTGGCAGCCAGAGGTGGATTACAACGTCAGTCAAACGGAAAGGTCCTGCATTGCTCACAGACTGCCATGTCACCTGTAGCGACACGTACCTCTCCTGTGTCTGTCACTCCACAGTAACTACTCCTGCAGGTGCTCCTACACACCGCTAACTGCCTGACTTAACTTGGCCTTCACTTCTCTACCTGCAGCTGCATCACCAAGTTCCCCTTGCAGCAGAGCCTGAGCAGTGACAAAGGCAGTTAATTCCGCATACATCACAGACTGTGCATTCCATTTGACTTGTACCTCATTTTTTACCCAGCTGTGAAGAACACCAGCAGTTACCAAACTGAAGATAAAAGCTATGTTTTCTTATATTGTTTTGTAAGACCATTCCATAACCAGAGAGATCACCACCTATATCTGGAGAAAAGGCTAGGGAAAGAAGAAAGTAAATATGAGAAAATGAGGAAAAGAGGAAAAATAGGAACTGTTATAATCTCTGGGCATTGGGAGTTTGGGTCTGAAGAGAAAGAGAGAGAGGCAGGGAGAGAGAAAGAGAAGCTGAAACTTAGAAATGAATGAACAGTTTAGCAACTGACATTTGTTAATTTGCAATATTTGACAAGACCAAAAACAAGATAGGGGAAAAAACACAAACCACCCCAAAAAGAGAAGGATTCAGTAAGGCAGTCTTTTGAGCTTAGTCAGGTAACTCAGAATGCTATGGATCAGATTTAGAGCTTTTGGATTAAAATAGTTTTATTGGAGTTCAGAGCCGAGTCAGCTTTTTAGCTCAGAAGGAAATTTTCAACCAGGAAATTTGTAATTGCGACCTTTAGTATCAGTCACGAGGAGGAGCTGGGATTGTTTTCATGTTTTCTAAATTGCACGGGAAGTCAGCAGAAGGAAGGGCTGACTACTCCACCTGGGTGAAACTAGTGGAACCAGCAACACAGAAGCCACAGGTAATGATGAGGTTTGAAACTGCTACATTCTTTATCACCTTTTTATGTCATAGGATTACTGCACTAGAAAAGTAATTTTATGAGCTAGCCTGCAATTGCTTTATCAAGCCATGACGAATAATCCAGTTATTTCCAGGTTTCATATAGATGGCTGCAGCTTTCACATTAAGATACAATCAACTTGTGTTAATTTAAAAAATAGTTTTAAAGTTATAGCCAGTTTTATCAAACCCTCTCTCTATTTTCACAGTATAGATTCCACTCACCTATTTTGTCAGGTTCAGAAAATTTAGTTCCATATCCAGTCAAACTTGATTCATTCTGAGAAGGCTAAGCAACTATATATTTAGCTCTCTGGTTTTATTTTGTCAGCACCTATGCTACTTACTTTTAATCCTTCTACTGCACTGTCCATTTTCCTAGAGAACTGAAATTCAGTGATTTTACCATTACCTTTAAGCACCAAAGAAAAAATGCTATTAAGCCCAAAGAGGATGAAATACAGCCTTAGGGAAATCAGCAATATCAGATTTTCACTCAGCATGAGAAATTATATGGGTTCTGGTCTTTGCACCTTGACAAATAAATAGTAGAAATAGAGGATGTAGAGACAGAGCAGCTAATAGCTTGCAGCAGTTGACTTGAAAGCAGAGACCAAAAAGTCTAGGACTTACCTATGTGGACAGAAGATCAAGGGGAAATACAATCAGGATTCCCAAAATCATGGAAGAACTATGAAAAATGAATGTAGAAATTCTTTCACAAAACCCCTGCAATTTTCAGGACATTAGGAGGCACTAAAACACAAATGAACACAAATGAAAACACAAAACAAATACTTAGCAGGCAGTACAATTCCTGACCTTGCCACCACAGGAGATGGCAAGGTCAGAGCATAGGCTCAGAAAGGGATTATACAAATTCACAGACAAATTCATAGGTTTGCAAGTGGTTACTATCCAACAATTACTGGTAGGCTGCACACCAATATCCAAATATAACAAATGCAGGTGTGGGGGAGTGCAAGGAGAATGCATCACTGCAAATGTCTTGGCTCCTGTGCACTCACTATAGGGTGCCTCCTGTGGCAAGGGCTGGAGCTACAAAGCTCCTGTGATCCAGCAAGGCATTTCTGCTTACTTAGATGACCTTAAGAAACAGTCATTTGATGTAACTATTCACTTAGGAAATGTTATATGACCTGTATGCCAAAAACTTCAAGACAGCTCCACAAAGGTCAGATTATTTGTGAAACATGCAGTCATATTAAGATGGTAGAGGAGAGATGTGTGAAAATATCAGAATGCATTAACCTGCATTAACCTCTATATTTCATATAGAGTAGAAGCAGATAAATTTAAACTCACAGTGTTTATGCATTTCATTTGGAAGAAGTGATCAACAGTGTTACTCATTTATCTGGACTACAGTCCAGTTAGCATTGGTACATGAGCAGCGAGTTTTTCGCAATTCAAGAATTCCTCCACCTGCAGAAGTCATTGAAAATAAGTGCTTATGCAGAAAAGCATTACTGTGTCAAAGCAAGATGCAAACTTTGAGATCGAGGATTCTATGATAATATTTTTTTTTAGTCATAAACATTGAGAAAACCATCACCATCCTTCCAGTGAGTAAAGAGCCTAGCAAGTTCCCTGTACAAAAGCCCTTCTTTCAAGAAAGGTTCTCCTAAAACCACAAGGAGCATAGCATCTAAAGTACTGCACCTTGAACTTTTCAAGATATATTACAAACACAGCTGCACAAACTCTAGTGCATGAAAAAGAATTTTACCCATTTAGCGCACAAATAATCATTTAAAAGCCCCTTTGGTGTAATTTTTTGTTTCAGTCAGAACTTAAATTTCAGTTACAACTACTCAGATACCTATTTTATGGCAATCCACTTTTCAAAGTTTGAATCTACTTTACTTCCATTGAAAAAGATGTTTTTAAAATGAAACATCTGGCTAAAAGAGGAGAAGTTTTGGCATTCCTGGGCTTTAAAAAACTTACATATATAAACCTATGGTGACACACACATCAAGAGAAAAAAAGAGGTAAGGAGAGAACTGTCATGGGCTTAATCCTGCCAGGGGGACAATTGTTTTTCTTCTGAAATAGAAGTATTACAGCAGCTTTTAGAAGCTTTCAAAGGTACAACTTGATCAGAGAACATAAAACCCTGATTGACATCTACATGAATTTCCATGCAATGTATTTATTTTCCATACACTGCTGCATTCTATTGTTATGAATGGGAAATACTTACGAAAGATTCTTCTTTGAATACTTTGTCGTTCTGATTAGACCATGAACATGTTGACAAGTTTATCAACAAGATTTTGTCTGTGTAAAAGTAAAGAGAGTTTTTTTCATGCACAGAAAATTACTCAGGTTTCATGATATCTTCTGTCCTTGGGTTCTCAGAGATGGAAGTAGAGAAGGGCCTTTAACAAAGGTACTTAAAGTAAGTTACAAACACAAGTTAAACTGGGAATTTAAAATATTTTCTTTATTGGAAAGTACAAACCTCTTGTCAATCTAAATGCATTAAGTGGAATAAGTATGCCATTTGTACTAATAATTGGTGTGAAAATGAGTGTTCTAGAAAGATAAATTATGACAATGAAATTTGGAATACATGATGACACTGTAAAGCATCTTCAAGCTCTGCACACTGATTCGCTAATCTTTCAGCAGGATAATGACAGATGACTTTTATGCAGCTTTAATGCCTTCACTTGCAAAACTATAAGGATTGGTAAATTTTGTGGCTTTCCAGAAAGGGTAGTTTTCCCTACAGCATGAAGATTCAACCTACTACAGTGAAAATATGTTAAGGCATCACCAATTTAATCACAATAAAAAATAAAATCTGGTGCAATTTCTACACACTCCTTACAAAACTGCCATTCAAGCACTGATCAAACAAAAATAACTTAGGATGAAGTAAAAAATTATGAAGCTTCTCCATAAGCTTCATTTGGGTCATACCATCAGCTTCAGCCACAGGAAAGTGAACTACCCTTCTACTAAAGGGATGGTGATCCATAGTAACACCTGTTAGTTGTTCTCGTTCCATGTCACTATTTGTTCCAGAATATGGCTCTTCTGCTAGTTAGAAATCTAAGCTGCAGCTCATATTTCCTCAAGAACCGTTTATATCAATTTGTTTGTCTTCAACTGTTGTCTTTTAAAAAGCACTGCTTTTCTGATATTTTCTCCCATGGATATAAATCACAGCTCAAATTTCATTTTGCTAGGCTAAATAAACTATGGCAAATTTAGTTTCCTCTTATAGAAAAGCTTATTATTCCCATGATCCCAGCAACTCTTTTGTGGACTTATGGAATCTTAATTTGCCCTTTTTTCAACATGAAAAATTGGAGTTATACATGGCACTCAGATATAGCTTCATCATGCCTTGTCAGGCAAAATTACTTACTGATTTGAGCTGGGAAGACATGATCAATCACAAATTCCATTTGCCTTTTGTGCCTGAAACATAGTGCTGGCTACCAGCTATCCAGTGAACTCCTAGTACTTAGGTATGTCCCTTCTTCCACTGTTTCCAACCACAAGCTCCTGTTTATATCAGAGCTTATCAGAGATCCCAAAGTGCATGATCTCGCACTTCAGTCCATGAACTTCCAGCCTGCTTCTATTAGTCCAAACTTTGAGGTCATTCATTTCTTCCTGTAAGTAATTTCTTCCCATTCTGCATCAGCAATAGGTACCGACTGGATATCATGAAAAAATTTCCTCAACACCATCTTTTTATGCCAAAGTTACTAACAAAAGTCTAAAATATATCTGTCACCCTGACTGATCACGACAGAGCTTTGTAACCTGCCTGCCCAGTAAATTCCCTCTCAACAGCACCCACTCTCCCCTTTGAGGCACTTCCTTACCCACAGTGCCTGGATGAATCCCCACCTCCTGCAGCCTAACGCTGGGAGTCCCCTGTTGATCCTGACCAAATGTTCTGCTGCAAAATATCTAGAACAGAAATTCTTTTTCTAGATACATTATTGTTTTAAATATCACTTTACTAGGCTGTGATCTAACTTTGGTAAGCACATCTCACATGTCACTTTTAAAAATCTCAATCTATAATTATATTTTGTCTTGAACACTTGTTCTAAAGCCTTGAAAGCACATGACATTCCAGTCATGGCTTTTTTTGTCAATGGAGTGGGGACAGAGTGTATTACACAGAGATTGTTTGGTACTTTCTAGCTGTAGATCATTTGCTTGATTGAAATCTTTCTAGAAAGAGATGAGAGATGTGAAAAAGTTTCTATGCAGTGAAAAATAATAAAATAAAATTTTTCTCCCAAAATCAAGGAATTGTTTTGGATTCTGTGCTGAGATCATTTTGTGTCTGCATAGATAATAAATAAATACATTGTAATCACTGTGGATTTATAAGGTAACTAAAGTTATTTGGGCTTTTACAGAAAGCAAGTCTGGGAAAATAAGCTGGCAATTTTTTGATGTGTCACATTCCCAACTAAAACAAGCTTAAATATCATTTTCCTTATTCAGCAATACTTGGGGAGAGAAAAAAAAAAGCACCAACCACAGCTGGCATTTAACCCATAGTCTGTGGGTAGCTATATTACATGCTCACTTTGCAGGATTCAGACAGAGCACTCACAGGCTGGTTACAACAATGGCAAAGCAAATCCTACACCCTTGGCATTCAATTCTCTTCCTGCTTATTTTTCTGTCTTAAATGAATGTTCTAAATCCTACACCACTAGCAACAATTTGCTGATTTTGTGTCATATTTATGAACACAATACAATCATCAGAGAGTTTTTCCAGATGAGGCACCACAGAAATAAATCTCACATTTTATTTTGCTCAGTTTTTCCTGAAGGGAAAGGTTCTTGATGTGGCATCTTAATTTGGGTATCTATTGACTAGTGCAGCAAATGGTCTCTAATCCAAGATCCCAGCTATTTCCTCTACAGATATAAAAACTTTTTGGAGCTTCTAAAGAAAAAAACTAAATTTCAAAATCTTAGGAAACAATACCATTATATTTCCTTACATGGATCTTACGAGGTCAATTCACCCTGGCACATCACCTCAAGAATGCTGTGTTTTACTGAAGTGATTTTAAAACTCTTGTTAAATTATGTGTTGTTTTTTCCTCATCAAGGCTTTTCCCACCACAAGAACAGACTACTGTTCTACTAATGCTGTGAATTTAGTCCTAAGTCCGCACTTATCTACAGCTTTGGCTATAAAAGAACATAGGGACCTGTTTTAGGGCCCCTAGCAAGTTGCTATACAAAAAATATGTACCTCAGGCTTCATGCCATTTGATTGTCAGCTTTTTGTCATTTCATCTGTACATTTATTTAGGTAGACTTACTTAAGTGAAATAGATACAATATGTTCCTTTTCTATTTTTAAGTTCTCCAAAGGACTCTAGATCTCATCTTTGTACCTAAGCTATGCAGAGATAGAGGCACAAGGGAAGGAGACACAAGGAACCCCAGCCATTTCAGTTATGAATTCACAGCTTTTAAGTGTTCAATAAATTAAATTTTACCTTCCTCCAAATATAACCTACTGAAAGCAGCCAGACCTTTCACATACAGTGAAAATAAATTTTTGGCTGACTTAGCAGGAAAAACTCAACAAATGGAGTGAACAGAATAAAAACTTTTGTAACAATATTGGCAGCCTACACATTCAAAGCTGACAAAAAGATATTCTTAAGAGAGAAAAATTCTTCTGTCTTCTGTAGGGATGGTAATACATTTTTAAGGATAGCCAGGAACAGGGCCCAAAAAGCAATCCTTATTTGCTTGCTGAACACAGCATTTCCCTGTTACTAATGTTACAATCAGAGATACCAGTTTACTTAATAGACTTTAAATTATCTGAGTAATATAACTGAAAGCAGAACTACCACTTGAGGCCCACATGGGAGTAAGGATGTGGATCTTAATGTCTTAAGACCAAACAAGACAGGGGTCCTTCCTCCATGGACTGCCAAAGCCTGCGTGCACTGAACTGCACTGAAGCAGTTCAGGTGACACTACAGGCAAAGGAAGGTGACATACAAATAAAAAGAATGAGCAGCACAAGACCACTGCCAGTCGTAGTACTTCTACATTCTGTGTTTCAGTTCCATGGGTAAGGCAGCATGTCACTAGCAGGAGCTTAGCAGATTTAGTGAACATGGGTTGCCTTTCATTTCCCATGTTTGCCAGGCAGAAGATGCAGAGCACTTAAAAATGCCCATTTGCCCAGCTATGAGATTTTGCAAGGTTTTAAGAGTCAGGAACAATCTTGCACAACAAGGACTACTCTGTGAAGTTCCCTGAAGTCTACAGCAAAATTCCCATTGACTTAAGCAGAGCCAGGACTTCCTATCAATTCCCCAGAGGTCAGCTGAGTTCTCAGTGCTGAGAACTGTAAGCTGTGTGGACTGCAGAGAGCAAGTAACACCAACCTTACAGATTGCACTCGCTCTTCTTGTGATGGTTTTTGCATGTGGTGGTTTCAGTTTTGTACGCATTAGAGATCAAGAAACTACCACAGCATTCTGGGTTTGTTGTATTTATTTCATGCAATAACAAAGCATGGTTATTTTCTGTTTTCTAACCAAAAGTGCTGCAGGGGTGGAAATTAGATAAAACTTCATCATTTATCTGGTTTTCCATCACCCAGCTCTTTTTAATTACCCCTTTATTGCAGATCAGTTACTAAAACTTCCCTGCTTCAAAACAGGTTTCAAACCTTGTCTCTCTAGCTTCAGTTACACATTATCAACAGAGCTTAAACTATTCTTGCCTTTCTAGTACATGTATGGAATCTGAAGACAAACCTGGATTTGGATGAATTGTTGTCACCATGGGGACAGTAGTTGACCATGGAAAGACACCGCAGTTCTTTGACAGTGCTGCTCCTGGCAGCGCCCACCATCAGAGCCTCCACAGCCACATGACAAAGAGGAGACTGAAATAATTTTCATGAAGAGAGACAGCCTGAGTTATGGGAAATTTTGCAAGTTTGGTTTGTTCAGGTTCTTGTGAATTTTTCCTGCAATTTGCCTGTATTCTATGTGTGCTTTTACAACTCCTAAATTTCACTTTGAGTTTCAAGTTCAAACAAGAATGTTAAAAGCTCAAATTGAAACACACTTGAAACCATCAGGTTTCACTTGCCAAACTGTAAGTGGGCTTCAACATTTCAAAGGTGCAAATTAAGGAACTCATGTGAAAATTGCAGCCGACAGCTTTATAGCTGAATGAAAGTAGTCAAGCTTTGTGTAGCTCTGTAAGAAACGTTCCTCGTAGTAGTTTGCTGGGTTTTACTCTTACTGTATGTGCAGGAACGGGCCCTTTACACTCACCTAAGATGTTGCAATACTCTAACATGCCAAATTACTTTTTCGTCAAATTGCTACTTAAAATCTCTCCTCCTTACTTTCTCTGGAGCTGAACCCAAGAACTTTGGGCAATGAACTTCTATAATAATTCCCCCAAAATCTCTTTCCCTGTTTTAGAACTAAGGGGATCCTTGCTCATGGTTATGCACCATCTGTCATTATCTACGAGGACTAAAATGCCAAGGATGGCTTTTGGCTGTCAGCTCTGCCCCTCTGAACAGGGTGTTACAGGATGTCTCGTTCAGCATTTGCAGTCACAGGAGAGAGGAGATTCTTTTGTTCAGAGCAGGGAATAGCCTCCACAGCTGCAGAGCACAGGAGACCCAGGGAACTTCCTAAGACCAGCAGCTGTGGAAGCAAATTTTGGCTGGAATGGTCCGTTATTATTGATGCACATAAGGCCTCAAAATCAGTGTCAGGAAATTGTGCACATGAAGAAAGGTCTTATTTTTCATATTTGGTATGAAACTGTGTAATAGTTAAACCTTGCTTTGATGTTATGTTCAGCATTGTTAGTATTAAAAAATTATGTGGGCTCTTCCAGTCAAGTCATATTTAAATAAAAACTCAGCCCCACCTCCCTTTTCATCTAAGCCAGTCCACCAGTGCAGCAATCATGACTTGAAAAAGTTGTTACAAGCACGATGTTAAACTAAGTCAGCATCTCTTCTTTTATACTGCACTGTTTATGAAGTTAGAAACATTCATTTTTTACTTGGTGACTCCAATTCTGTACAATCCCAAAATGCCCAGCAGTATCGCTGTGTGCCCAGTCCTTTTGCAAAAGTTCATTTCTTAGAAGTTTCCTAGGAGACCTACATGAAGACAATGAAAACTAACCCAGTGTTCAGCACTACACTTAATTTAGTACTTCTGGCTCTGTCATTATGCACAACCCTGAAGATGGGGAGATTTCCTGTCACTCAGCTGCCAAATTGCTTGAGCCTTTGTGTAAACTCTGAGATAACTCATATTATTTTTGTACCTTGACTTAAATCCCTGTAACATAGAGACAACTCTTGCCTAACTTTGCACAGGTGTGTGTTTAGCTCATGGCCATGTGATATTCTCAGATGCAAATTCACAACATAATTAACAATACAGTAATCCCAGCAAGGGCTAGGAAGACATTTTTGCATATCATTCACACAGACAATAGACAAGATTTTTCTGTACTCTTCCAGTTTCAGTCTGAGGTGAAGTGGCAAAGACTGACCCTCCAAATCTAATGTTCTGCAAAGCAGCAGAAGCAGATTCAGCATTCCCTACTTCATGCCCTGCAGAGCAAGCCAAAGCCTAAGAAACAGACTTGCTCAACAGCTGAGCAATGGAGGCAGAAACAGATCCATTCAGCAAGGGGAGCCAAAGGGGTCAGAGAGAGAGCCAAAGTCACCAGCTTCCTCCTGCTGGCTATGCAACTAAGAAAGAGCCCCAGAACAATGGAGAGAGCAGAACAG